AATCAAAAAAATTTAAAAACAGATATATTTGAGGAGGAAGCATAAAAATTTACTTCATGTTAAATAGTAGAGGTGATAAACATTACCAGTGAAATCTACCTGATGACTTTATATCCTGATGACTTTATATATACTCAGGTTCTAAGGATCCGAGTGTAACCGACTGTGACTAGTAACAATCAGATACGTAGGGATTAAAGACACATGTGCAAACATATGTTAGTAGCATTAAAAATGCAGGAAAAAGCATATCTTAAAATGAAATGGAGATCTTCTTTGAATGGTAAAAACTCATTCAATTTTATGTCTTACAGTGTTTATACTGAGTTCAATATTGTATAACTATATTAATTCAACTGTGAACCTAAAAATGTACAGTCACTTTTGAAAGAGATGCATCTTTGCTTTGGATTGTTATTGACTATGTTAAAGCGAAAATTTAAATAAAGACCAAATTTAGCGTTTTTGAGACAGGGTCTCTCTCTAGCCCCAGCTGTCATGGAACTCACTATGTAGACCAGGCTGGCCTTGAACTCACAGAGAGCTGCCTGCCTCTGCTTCCCTAGTGCTAGGATTAAAGGCATGCGCCACCTTTTATGTTTTTGGTTTTTTTTTTTGGTTTTTTTTTCGGTCTTTTTGAGACAGGGTCTCTCTGTAGCCCCAGCTGACCTGGAACTCGCTATGTAGACCAGGCTGGCCTTGAACTCACAGAGATCTGCCTGCCTCTCCCTCCTACTCTTCAGGTATAAATAATGCAGAGTTTACCATTCCACATTTTTTTCTTTCTAGATAGGGATTTCTTCACATTTATAGCAGTGATTACAGAGGATTTAGTTAACAAAGACCTGAAGGGAAAGGAAGTAATTTCTGAAAATGATGCGGAGAAATTCTTTAAAATTCACATTCTCTTCCAAGGCATTCAGGCCCTACCTCAGCACAGGGTCCCTGGGCACCACCCACTAGTGACAATCCTGTCCCTTTGCTGTCAGGCCTCTGGTTGCTGGAGGAGAAAAGGATGGGTTCAGAAGCCTCTAAGGTGACGATTTCCTCTGGCTGTATGATAAATTTCATAATTTGACCTCTAGCCAATAAATCAAAATGTGAATAATGACTTACACATAAAAGTGAGAATTTCTGTTATGTGTAATTAGTCAAAACTGCAAGTATTAATTTACCCTCAAAAGTGTCCTGCGCTTTCCCAGCAGGCTCTGTTCATGTAATAAGTGAACTGATGCTGTTGGGTTTTTATGCTACAGTCCAAAAACCCTGCTCTCCCCTTTCTGACAAATAAATATAATGGCAGGAAGATCAAATAACTCACTAAAAAAAGATATAATTTTTTATCTTCCTTTTTACAGTCTCATATCCACTTCCGCTGGGAATAACAAAGTCTGAATTCTTATGCAACACTTATCTAAATGTGTCGATTTTATCAGATTGATGAATTTTGCTAACAAAAGGCAGTGCAAGGAAATCTTTTATGACATATTTGGCCCATTCAGACGGCTGCAGCTTTAATTTAACCAACTTGAGAATTCTGAGGGAGAACTGCAGGTGTTGAATCAGAAAAAATCATAAATGGGAAGGCATATCAATCTTTATGGCAGGGAAACAAAAACACTCTCCACTTGCTTGCCCTCCACAGACAGAAGGAGAGGCACGAGTGGCAGGATATTGTCTGAGGCGACATAGCAGAGGAGGCAGCCCTGTTTCCCAGTGACCACTCCTCAGAACTGACCAAAAGGGACAGTTGGCCCAGAGAGGAAGAGAGAAAGGGATCAAACAATGAGACATGCCAGCTCTGTGTACTTAGCAAGATACTAACTCATTTTCTTGGCCATGTGAGAATTAGTCCTGTGGTCCCTAAGCAACCAGGTGGCTTATAACCCTGCTGTCCCCACTGGATTCTCACTTTCCAAGTCTTTCCAGTAGCTCTGACACCTTTGCTGTCCTGACTGCAATCAGGGGCAAGTGGAGTCTACTGCCATTCAGCATTTCACCTCCTCCGTCCTGCTCTGCCTCAATCACAGTCACCCCTTCTTTACCTGGGGAAACCCCATAGTCCATTCCCCAACCACCAACCAGGCCACTCTCCCTCCTATAGCAAGTAATGGCCTGATGAGAAACCTTCAGTCTCTCCCTGCTCAGAATTCTCGAGGAACTTCCTAACTCTCACAAGATAAAGCTGCAAATGTTCTGGCCTCTACCAGCAGCAGTTGTGTATCTATCACCCACTTGTAAGCCTTTGTGACAGAAACTATTCACCAAACTTTGTCATAGTTGACAATGGACTCAACTGCCAATGGACAGAGGAACAAGTGGTGAGAGAATATGACACCCAGCCTCTGGTGCTGAGGCCTGGCCATAACACAGCAGGACTGAGTCCTCACTGGAGCAACAAAACAATGAACCCATTCCCCGGGTGGGGGGGTGTCAGGGGGGGGATGATATATACATCTCTCAGCACACACACAGTGATATGCATGCATCACAGCCCAGGAGTGGCAGGAAGAAGTCTGCTCAGCAGAGCCTGCTAGCTTCCACCTGGACTGTTCCTGCAAGGAAGGGAAATCCCTTTCCTTCTGCTCTAGTGCTTTCTGGAATCTTAACAGCACATTAACCTTGGACCAGCTTACAGCAGCAGCTATGTGAGGGGTGGGAGGCTGACCTGCCTACCCAGAGTGTTGACAAAAAGCCTTTACACATATGAATTGTCATTAGCAAACCTACTTGGTGTTTTCGAGAGTCTTCTGCATTTTCTTGGTCATTTTGTCGATTGCTGCTTGCCTCTTCCCTTGGGCTAACAGGTCTATTTTGTTCAGCACCACAACAAGCTTCTGGCAGGCAATCTGGCCGATCACAAGGCACTCTGCTGACTGTGTCTGCATCCCCTTGGTCACATCAATCACAAGCATCATCAGGTCGATGATCTGGGCACCTGGAACAAAAGAAAATAAGGTCAGGAGGAGGGCAGGAATGGTGAGCCTCACAGAAAGTCACCCAGGCCTGGGCCTAGCAAAGTACTGCATCAGTGTGCAGAGCAGAAGGAATGGTGGCCATACATTGCTCAACCAGCCCTGGTGAAGATATAGACTGGCACTGCCTCACCAAGCCAAAGGAGTACCAGGAGAGGTGAGGAAGCTGAGGCCCCAAAACAGAGGGCTTGCCCAGGGCCCCATGACTGTGCACAGCAGGGTCAAGTTTAGGTAAAGGATGTCGGGCTCCAGAGCCCTGCCCCCATGCTATACCACTGCTCTCATTTTTCATTTTACTCAACAAGTGGAGATTTTAAGCAAGAAAGCTCAAATGCCTACATACCTGCCCTTATTAAGAAGAGGGCGGGGGCTGGAGAGATGGCTCAGCAGTATAAAGTACTGGCTGCTCTGGCAGAGGACCCAGGATCAATTCCCAGCATCCACATGACAGCTAATGGCCACCAGTAAATCCAGTTCCAGAGATCTGACGCCCTCTTCTGACTTCCACTGGCATTGCACAACACGGGTACACTTATATACATGCAAGCAATATACTCATACACATAAAATAATAAAAACAAAACATTAGGGGCTGGAGAGATGGCTCAGTGGTTAAGAACATTGGTTGTTCTTGCAGAGGAACCAGGTTCGAATCCCAGCACCCACATAGCAGCTAACAACTGTCTGTAACTCCAGTTCCGACAGCCTCTTCTGTCCTCTACAGGCATTGCATGACACAGATTCACTTACCTACATGCAGGTAATACACGCATACTCATAAAATAAAAATAATAAATAAAATGTTTTAAAAAATAAAGAAAAAGAGAGTAAGGCTAAAAATACATGGAGGACTTGGGTTGCCTACAATTATCTCAAGCCCAATGCTAGGCATCTACTAACTTCAGTCCTTTTCTCTGTTTGCAGAGCTCCTGATCTTTCTGGGAGGTCAGAGAACACAGACCATGTTGTATACAAGCCATGTTATATGCATACATGTGTAGTACACCTGAGCTGAACAACAGCAAGTGCTCACATGACAAAGCAGTTAGTTATTGAAGGGAAAATGTCAACCACCATATTAGAAACACCAGTGTTGACCAATAGAATGACAAGACTTGTAACAAGACTTGCAGGCATTTCAACAATTAAAAAAAAAAAAAGGTGTGATTTAGGGAATGCAAGAAAACACAGGTACTTTTCCCACTGAAATGAATGGAAATTACATCTTGAGTTTACAAAATCATCTCTTGAGGACTTTTCAGGACCACACTATGATCACTGGCAAGTATCAAATTTACTTTGATACTGAGTCTGATGACCAACCCTATCCACTGTTGGGAGACAGGGGGGCCAGGAGAAGAAGGTCTACTGTACTTGGTCAGCACACCAGCACTGTGTGCTATGCTAGCTTGTTTCATCTCCATTACCCTGTTTCAGATGAAGAAAAGCAGACTCTAAACATGACAGGACACGTTCTGGGTCACGTGGCCACTTGGAACCAAAGGGAGCTGGGAATACTCTGTCTGCCACATTTAGAGGCCTCCTGGTCACTGTTGACCTGCTGAAGCTCTGGCTCCAAGGAGTAGCACTGTGTGTCTGAGTGCAGGCAGCCTGGCCTACCCCAGCTCGCCTCTTTCTCCAGTCTCCTCTCCCATCTTATCTGGTCAAGCAGAGATACAGTAAGGCAGAGGGAAGGATAGGTACATATAGCAGCAGCAGCAGCAGCAGCAGCAAATCCTTAGGGTAGCGGAGCTCCAGTTCCCACCCACAGCTGTGAGAAGGAACTTTACCTCTTTCATCCCTATGAATATGACATATTTCCACATCCCAACAGTTTTTTACAGAATAGAAGCCTTCAAGTCCCCACGGTACAATGGATACAAACTTGCCTCTGAAAGCCATCTCTGTTCCGGGTTTAGCCAGCTGTTCTCTATGTGCTTTGCCTCAGACTGGCCCTCCATAATCTATCTTCTAAAAAATTACTGTGTTCCTCCAAAAAACTTGCTAAAAGTGAATAACTGACTCACATTGCTAGGGACCTTTAAACTGGTACAAGAGCAATTTAGAAACAGGTATCAAAATACATATAGTATTTTGCTTTGTTTTGTTTGTTTTTGAGACTGGATCTCCCTGTAGCCCCAGGTGGCCTGGAACTTGCTATATAGACCATCCCAGGTTGGCCTTGATCTCACAGAGATCTGCCTGCCTCTGTGTCCTAAGTGCTAGGATTAAAGGCATGTGCCATCACACCTAACAAAATGCACATAATCTTTGACCCAGTCAAGCTCACAAACATACAGGGGGGCACTCCTGCAGCAGATTTCATATGGGACAGGCCCTCCTCAACTCCTTCCCCCCCGACCCAACGCTCCCCCCACCACCACATCTGCTGTCATTGAAGCTGGAAACCATGTAAATGTCACAATAGGGGACAGGCTTAAAATAAATAATTATATCCAATAGTACACAGTCACTGAAGAGGATAAAAGAGCCCTCTCTACAGTGGAGTGAGAAAAGTGAGGGGCAAAGCAACCTTTCCCCTCACTTTACTTGCATTAAGGAGAACTGTGCATGTGCCTGCATGTGCAGTGTAGATGAATGAGTGTTTGCTTCTATACACATACAGTACCTGAGGAAATACGGAAGAAACCAGCTTGGTTGTCTGCTGGAAGCCAGAAAGAAGAGAGGTAGGAATGAAATCCTTTGCCATGCATTCTTCTGTCCTTTCATTTCAATAGCAGTGTACAGAAACATTAAAAAATAGAGTCATATATATATATATATATATAATTCTTTGGGGGGGTCTTTTTGAGACAGGGTCTCCCTGTAGCACCAGCTGGCCTGGAAATCAGTATGTAGACCAGAGTGGCCTTGATCTCACAGAGATCCCCCTGCCTCTGCCTCCTGAGTGCTGAGATTAAAGGTATATGCCATCACACCTGGCCTAGAGTCATATTTTTAAGAATTTTAACAAAAAAGACCTGACAGTGTTGCTCTCCTATTAAAAGCCCCTACTGTTCTCTAAACACAAAATGCCCCAGTATGGGTCTAAGCCTTCCCTTTACCTAGTAGCCGCTTCATCATGCCCTGTACCATGTGGTGCACAAAACTTGCCTATGTCCATGATGTTCCCACTTGCCTTACATGAGGGGAATCTGAGTTCACCCCACACAAGATGCACCCAGCCACCCACCCACCAATCCTCCCAACCACAGTAAGCCTTGGGCCTATTCCAGAGTTGGAAAGCTGGCTCTGTGGCCAGCCCAGGGAGGCTAAGGCCTACAAGTGAACCATGAAGAGGACGTGGGTCATGGTCTGGGTACTTGTCTGGGCACAGACTCAGAGTAGAACAGCCTAGCACTTGACCCAGTAGGCCTCTGGCTCTGGAGGGTAGAGCAGGAGCCTACAGAGCCATGGTCTTTGCCTCAGGGATAATTCTAACTATCCAGGTTCCCTTGGAACCTCAGCCCCACTAGTGACTTCAGAAAAGGAAAGCAAGCCTTTGGAGGAGCAGGGTCAGTGCCCATGGTTATGTAGCAATGCATCAGAGCAGAGATAAAGATCTGAACTCTTAACACCTGGGCTCTCACCTACCATGTCACATAGCCTGTCTGTTCCCCCTGTCTGAAAGGCCCAGCAGCTTCCCGTTCCCAGTCACCACTGAGGCTCCTCCCTACCCTGCCTTTGCCTCACTCTGCCCAGTACTTGCTCCAAACTTCCTGCCCCTGGCCCTTGCCTACTCTACCCCAGACTGAGCTCCCAGCCGAAGCATGGTCTTTCAATCTGTATTCAGAGCACAAGACCCAGTTTGGGCACAATTAAATAAGTCTTTGTTGGGCTGAACTGAGCAATGTTAGCTCCCCTACCCCCTCTACTCTGTTTACCAGAAGTCTGTTCTTTTTCTCCAAGATCCAGATCCAATTTCCTATCAGCAAGCACAACTACCCATAGAGCCTTGTTTGCCTTGCTGGTGGAGAGAATGACTCATGAACTCCACACATTAGGCCCTCCCTCATGTTGAGTCCTGGGGATGGGAAATGAAGCTGACCACCAGACCCAGGTGCTAAGTACAGACCTGCCCAAGCACCAGGAGCATCAGGGCTTCATCTGCATCCCCATCAGATGTCTGCAAATTGCCTTTGTTGAATACATAGTTCTGCTCCAGGAGATCCTCAGTAGCATAGCCAGCACCGGGACTTCTAAGGAGAGCAGAGGTCAGGGACACTTGACTGCTGTACTGAGAACCAGGGCACCACTAGAAATTGGGGTCAGCTCCAGGCAACTGCCTGCTGCCTGGCAGCCTCTTGCAGTTCCTCTCATTTCTTCATCAGACTTTTGATCAGGCAACAGGAAGTGATACAACTGGCCTGTCTTGACTTTTTCAAACTCCCTAGTATTTCCATGGAATGAATCAGACAGTGTCCTTCCCAATTCCCATGAACCTAGGGTAGAAAATCACCCTGAGACTAGAGGGACAGAGTGAGCAAGTGGGTGGGAAACAGGACACAAACTCCAGACTTACAAGAGACCCTCTATACTTGCCATCTATCAGGGTTTTTCATCAGCTGTACCAACCACAGAATCCTTGAAAGGTTTGCAGAGCAATTATGACAGGGTTAAAGTTTCTCTGTACTTTTAAAAAAAAATTACAATTTCCAATTCTGTAGATTACATATCTTAATGATTCCAAAAATAAAAATAAGGAAAAACTTACAAAGGTCAGCATTTAACAGAGTCTGAGTTATCTGTGAGATGTTATTTTTCTTCTGGGGCTGAGTGAAGAACTGTGTTCAGAAAAAAATGTTTCAGCTGGAGAAAAATGACATAAAAATTTAAACATATATTAGCAATTTCAAAATCAGATTTTCTTTTTAAAAAATCAAAAGGTACAGGCATTCTAAGGAGAAATAATATTAAATTAAAAATAATGAAAATTTGTTTTCAAATGGTGACTTTTTAGGTA